ACTAAAATATCCAGGACACCGGCCCTCCAGGATTGAGTTTGGACACCTCTGATTTAAGATGACCGCCTACGTGTCACAATGCAAACAAATGAATTGAACACATGCTAATAGCAGGGAACACAGCGGAAATGTTTCAAGGAGACCCTAAAACCTGACAGACCCGGCTTTTTCGGTTATGGTTATTGAGGCTAATAATCAGCAATAGACAAGGCAATGGTGGAATCAGGATGCTAAAATAAACAACAAATCCCCAAGATCGCCAAGCAGTAGTCATGGCACAATAAACAAATCCCAGCCAAGTCCGTCACGTTTTAGGGTCCCTAAATATTTGCATGTGTTGTGAGGAGATGCAGTGTTTATTCCAAATATGTTTGCATTGTGATTTAAAATGCAACACAGATACTGTCAAACATCTTAATTAGCTCTTTAGTAATTGCATGTGCTTTCTTAAATTGCAGCACATTAAGCTCTCTGGGCCACCGTAGGAAACACACAGAGGCTTCTGAATGGAAATCTTTGCGTTTTGAAATGAATTCTTACAGTTTCTTTGATTGTTTTCCTTCCTCTCCAGTGAAGCTTGACTGCATGTGGCTCTTGACATCCAGAATGAGGAGAACCGGAGGCGGTTAAACGAGCACTTACACAAAGCACACAGTCCGATGTTTGTTCTGCTTTCCGTTGGAGGACTGAACGCTTATGATTTACTCACACTAAAGGATTGCGTGTGAAGACGTGCACACTTCTCACCCATGTTTCTGAAGATGTTTCTGTTGTCGCTCTGAGTGTTGGTTTTGGTTGATTTCGATTGTATTTATTTATGTCTCGACCCTCTCTGTTTGCAGACTCCTGTAAGAGTTCACTGACATGTTGAGCCTGTGATCTGGCGCCTTATTTGTGGGATTGAGAACAGGAGGAGAGCCAATCACGCGGCTTTAAAAAGACATTAAAGTAGAAACACGTCTGCTCTCAGAGCTACTCCTGGCCTCATTATTGCCTGTGCACATCGCAGAGAGCTCTCAATAGCTAATCATTGCACAGAATTAGACTATTAGCATTTTATTTATAATAACGGGCCAATTTTAAATATACATTTCTATTTTCAATCGCTTAAATACACAACACAATCATAGAACAGCATTCACCTGGCTAAATACATCCATATCACCCACATGAAATGGTAATAGTAACTAACACTCGTGTTTTTGAGCCATACCATAGTATTATTCATTCATTGTCTTTTCGGTTTAGTCCCTTTATTAATCAGGGGTCACCACAGCGGAATGAACCGCCAACTTATGCAGCATATGTTTTACACTGCGGATGCCTTTCCAGCTGTAACCAATCACTGGAAAGCACCCACTCATTCACACACATACACTACAATTCACCAATACTACATGTCTTTGGACTTGTGAGGGAAACTGGAGCACCTGGAATAACCCACTCCAACACAGGGAGAACATGCAAACTCCACACAGAAATGCCAACTGACCGTTTTTTTTTTTTTTTACAATAATTGCGTTCTGCAGACAGATATTATTATTTTATTTGAATACTATGTAGTGTAAACAGACACCCAAAACCGCCGACCCTGCTGAAAAATCCAGCTTAAACCAGCATAGGATGGTTGGCTGGTTTTACCTGGTCAACAAGCCTGGTTTTAAAGGGAGTTTTAGCTATTTCTAGGCTGGTTTCCAGCAACTCCCAGCCTGGTCTTAGCTGGTCAGGCTGGGAGATGGCCAACTAAAACCAGCTTGACCAGCCTAGCCAGACAGGTAGCCCAGCCAAAACCAGCTATGCCCAGATTAAACCAGGCAGGTCAAGTTGGTTTTAGCTGGTCATTTTCCAGCCAGACCCAATGGTATCTGGATGCAGCCTTTATGATGCGATGCAATGTCAGACTCAATGGACTCAATAGAGTTAGTGACGTCACTGTGACTGGTGGGGTTAGGTGAGCGCATTAAAAAGCATTGAATGCAGCTCAGAATGCACTGCACCAGGTCTGCATCCAGACCCCTCTCGCCAGACCAGCTAAGACCAGGCTGGAAATGGCTGGAAACCAACCTAATTATGGCTAAAAACCCCTTTAAAAGCAGGCTGGTCAACCAGCTAAAACCAGCCAATCAGCTGCTGGTTTAAGCTGTTTTTTTTTCAGCAGGGAAATTAAATAAAGGCGCAATACTGAATTTTATTGGGTGGGAGTTGTCGGATGAAAGTGAGTAGGATTGGGGGGTCACGGAAGAAAGTGAAAGGGAACAGTGGACGGGGGAGAAGGGCAATTGTGGAGGGGGATTGGTAAATTGAGATGCCGGATCCGGCGTGTTCCGGCACAAATTAAGCCCTGAAATTGCGAGGTCCCAGAACAGATCGGGGTGATGAATCCGAATTTTAAACACAAACTTTCAGTTGTTGTTCGTAAAGAAAAGAATCGGTTCTTTTAAATGAATCATTAAATGACTCTCGTGCGCTTGTTAATTGCAGATCTACGGCGGTTTCGTTCAGTCATTTTCTTTCAGTCCTTTTATTCTTCAGGGGTCGCCACAGCAGAATGAACCACCAACTATTCCAGCATATGCTTTACACAGATACCCTTCCAGCTGTAACCCAGTACTGGGAAACACCCAAACACACTCATTCAGATACACTACAGACAATTAGTAGTGATGGTGAAATGAAGCTTTCTGAACCAGTGAAGCGCTCGACTCATTTGTATCGGAAAAAGGTCATTACTCGAAGCTTTCCAAGTCAGAGCTCGATGAGGACCTCTGCTGGTTAAAGTGTGGGAAAGCACTGTGTTGCAATAATGTCAAATGTTCACAACTGACCAACTCATTCATGTAGTAATACAACAACAGTAATCTAAACAAATGACTCAGTTACTGTAGTTTATTACACATAAGTTATGTTACATTACCACAGCGATGACTAGTGAAATCCGAGATATTCAAAAGTTTTTACAATTATTGTATTCCAGCTGGATTTTTACCCACCACCTCATTCCAAGGATGGAACAAACCGGCGATTCCTAACGAGGAGGCTATAGGAGAGTGATTATAGGGCTGCACGCTGACACTACACTATAATATGCAGTGGCCTTCGTTAAAAATAGTTGTAAATAATACACTAAGGGTGCTTTCACACCTGTGAATGGATTCAGTTGTTCTGAAACAGAGATTACAATTGTTACAGTGTTGCTCTTTGCTCTTGGTGCGGTTCGCTTTCACACGGCAAAGTTTCTAAACGGAACAAGAGAGCTAAAACAACGTGCGAGTAAACTCTCCTCACATTGGTCAGAGTGTCAGGGTTTATTTTGCAGAGTCCAGCTCAGCTGTCAAGGGAGGTGTCTGGTGGTGTTTAACAGGGTGCGCGTGAAGAGCGAGGATGAATGCGGTGGGGAGGGGTGAGAAGGGTGCGCGACGTATTTGAGGACCGGGTGATAGACACGCAATTTCAGGGAGATTATCCCTCATTTGTGGGCATCCGGGAGTCTCTGTGCATTTTGCGGGAGACTACTGAAACTTCCAGGAGACTTGGGATGTCTGGAATGACCTCCTGCCCTACTCATATGCCTATTACTAGGCCCACCCGGAATCTGTGCACACAGAATTCTGCAGATTTTTAGCCCATCGTTAATTCTAAATCTATATTTATACATATTTTTTTATTAATTTTAGTCATATTATTGACTAAAGTGAAAATAGTCGTCTGATTTATGTACAATATAGTTTGTACAGTATTTTTTCTGTCTTTAACTAAAGATATTATATGACAAACTTACTTTATTCACCAAATAGTGAATCTTACTGGATTAGCATTTTAAACATTAAATAAAAGTTTAAAAAGTATTATTTTTTATTTCAAATATTAAGGTTTTAGTTATGATACTCCCAAAATAATTCCGCAAAAATCCGCAGACTTTTACCAAAATTCTCCTTAGAAGTAGCAAAAACATCCGCAGATTCCGTCTGGCCCTACCTATTACATATCCATAAAACACTGTGATATAGCCGTGCTCGGATCATATCGCTTTCTCACTACAATCGATCCGCTCCAGAGTTCGTTTCAATCGAGCCGAGACCACTTCATTCAAGTGATCTTGGAGCGATTGATTTGGCGTGGATCAGAGCGCGATTGCTGGTTTCACATATGCCAAACGAACCGCACTAACTGAGCAAACGAGACCGGTTCCGAAACAAAAGTGTAGGTGTGAAAGCAACCTAATACAATTTAGTATGGTTCAAAACCTTTTTACTATATATTACTATTGTATTTTAGTTGAATTACTGGTGTGTGGGACCAGTGCAGTGCTTTGAAACAGTAGAAATGTATGTAATCGACGCCTAATCTCTTGATATACACTTTACTAATCCACGAGGGTGTTTAAACCATTGAATCAAAATTGGAAGCAGTAAGCGAAAATGAAGCTTCGGAGGCATCATGTGATGATGGCAAAACGGGGACCTGATTTCTCGCCACACTGGTACCTTTTTGCTGTGAGGTGACAGCGCTACCCACTAAGCCACAGGTGTCAAACTCAGTTCCAAAAGGGCCGCAGCTCTGCACAGTTTAGTTCCAACCCTAATTAAACACACCTGATCAAACTAATTGAGTCCTTCAGGCTTGTTTGAAACCTACAGGTAAGTGTGTTGGAGCAGGGTTGGAACTAAACTGTGCAGGGCTTCGGCCCTCCAGGAATTGAGTTTGACACCCCTGCACTAAGCCAACGTGTCGCCCCCCACCGCTGTTTACAATCATTAAAAATGAACTTTTAGACTTTTTTGTGTTGCATTCAGATTAAAAACACTGCTCCAATAGGGAATAATAATACAAACAAATGATAAGTAACCTATTATGAGTAGCATCATTTAGTCATTAATCAGAACACAATGCTAAT